TTCCTGAGTGCTCTGCGTGCCGTTGCATCGGCAGTTCACGCAAAACGTATTGGGTCAATAGGGGGCTATGGACGGCCACGGAATGACACTGAGTTGATGGTACGTGAGAAGGAGGCGCAAAGGAGGGAAACTGGTGGTGATCTCAACGAATCCTGGGTGGGTGAAGTAATAGGTGTGGTCGGGGGAAGGGAAATCGGAGCACCGAGGGTCACTAGTGGTGGCACAGTGGAATTCCCGCGGACATAGCCGATTCTCCGTGTGACAAGGGTATCGGGTCCTTATGAGCTCGTTTATTATAGGGGTGAAATAATCCGGGTCATAAGACGAGTTTGAGTTTCAAGATCGCATCATGGTATCATTGCCGATGGGCCAGCGCGGGTCGGGATATTGTCACCACGCATGAGCACGTGCAGGACAGGCCGACTCAGTGGCACCTCATCATGCTCGTACGGGATGATGGTTCCGCCGTGATTCCTTTCGGGGTGAGCGAGTCGACGTGCGTGAATGCGTGCAAGGGCGCGACTCGGATCGCGTTTACTCATGTTCTCGTGCGGCGCTCGCGGGGCCAAACTTCGTGCCTAATTGCTTTGTAAGTCTCGGTTATGCAAGATGCGATCATACCGCAACCTCATCAGGGGACAAGCAAAAATGAAATTTACATCGGGGCTAGACTCTTATCGCATCTATCGCTGCATCCGGTGCAAGCAAAGATTCAGCACAAACAAAAAGCAAGGGCAGGGTTTTTCTGCAAAACTAGCAGGCATAACATCCATGCATCCATGCATTCGACAATCATACACATAATGCAAGCAAAAGCGGACACCGCGAAGACAAATGTCGACAAAAATCCAAGTCCTGATTTCAGAAAGCTGAAACGAAAATAAGAACGGGCAAACCGCCCGGAGCCGTAATCAAAATGTATGTACACAGGTGAAGAGGGGGAAGAGACAAAGAAACCGCAAATCCACGTCCATCATCCTCAACTCTCTGTTCCTCTATCTCTCTCTTTCCGATGCGGACAGTCCGTCGTCACGCACCAACCCACGCAGTTGTCACCCCGCTTAGTCCTCCCACACCCGTCGAATTCACCCGTGCCCACAGTCCGCCGTGGCCCACGTCAATCCCGCGCGTTTGGCACCAGCCCGTCAGGTCGCCCAACTCCTACTCTACTCACCTCTTACTTCGCTCGTGTGCCGACCCTTCCTGATCGCGCAACCCCGAGCTTCCAACAACGGGTTAAGAGAGCTGATTATTGGGTCTAGACTATGATTGGTTCGCTAGCCGTTATTGGTCCATGGTTGTTCTGATAATTGTGCAATTGTTTTCGTGTCTCATACTGCGCATCAACCAGACTAGTTGTCACTGTAGCTCAGTAGGTTTGAGCTGAGGATTGTATGGAAGAGGTTGACGGTTCGAAATTGGATCATATTGAACTAAGCGATATACTGTGACGAACCACTTTCTGTAACGCGCCAGTTTCTGAGTGGTTGCAACGAGGGGTCCTAAGATGGGAAGATTGGGCCAATTACGGGAAATCGGGATCGGTGGAAAATTGCATCAGTACCCTTGCTTCTTCGTCTTTTTCGTCGCTTCTTCGGGGCTGGGTGTGTTCTGGGACGGCCGGTGGAGTGATTGGTCGGATGGATGTCTGGCGCGTCGCCATTCGCGCGCGCAAATTAATAAATGTTGACGTCGTTTCTTTCGGTTCGGTTTCGATCTTTTGGGCGCGGACATCGCGCAAGAAATTGCTGCGCTCTTTCTAATGAAACCTTTTTGAATTTTAATCGAGTCCCGATGGCTCTCATAATTTCGGACTTTCCTTCTGAAATTTGTGCCTTTTGCTTTTTCGCATTAGATAGGAATTTAGTAATTAGGATTTTTCCAGCCGCGCGACGCTTTTTGTTCACGTGCTTCTTCGCGCGGCTGCAACGGAACTCTGATTAATCGGCGCCCATAATCGTTGGTGTAACTGTAATTTTGGGAAGGCGCCATTGTAATTGTATCTTTCTTCTTGCGCTTCGTCTTTCCCGCCCTCCCTCTCTTCCTCTTGCTGTGATTTTTGTGAACCACGGTTTGCATGCTCGGATCGATGCGTGGAGAAGGGCTACGTCCCCCACGCCGCGGCCCGATCATGAAGAACGCAGGCGCCCCCTCTCTAATCCCCTCTCTAAGTTCTGGTAATTCCGTGTCCTTCGCGCATGCATGCACGCTATAAATTTCGGCTGCGCGATTAGTCAGCTCTTTTAACCCGTTGTTGGAAGCTCGGGGTTGTGCGATCAGGAAGGGTCGACACACGAGCGAAGTAAGAGGTGAGTAGAGTAGGAGTTGGGAGACCCGACAGGCTTGACTTGGGCCACGACGGACTGTGGGCACGGGGGAATCCGACGGGTGCGGGAGGACTAAGCGGGGTGACAACTTCGTGGGTTGGTGCGTGACGACGGACTGTCCGCATCGGAAAGAGAGAAAGTTGAGGATGATGGACGTGGATTTGCGGTTTATTTGTATCTTCCCCCTCTTCACCTGTGTACATACATTTTGATTACGGCTCCGGGCGGTTTGCACGTTCTTATTTTCGTTTCAGCTTTCTGAAATCTGGGCTTGGATTTTTGCCCACATTTGTCTTTGCAATGTCCGCTTTTGCTTGCATTATGTGTATGATTGTCGAATGCATGGATGCATGGATGTTATGCCTGCTAGTTTTGCGGAAAATCCCTGCCCTTGCTTTTTGTTTGTGATGAATCTTTGCTTGCACCGGATGCAGCGATAGATGGGATAAGAGTCTGGCCCCGATGTAGATTTCGTTTTTGCTTGTCCCCTGATAATTCTTAGGAAGTGATCATCTTTTTGAATTAATCCTAACTGTATCGGATCCGGAGTGCTTGTTGGGTTTTCTTCTGGCGCGGGGCCTTTGGCTTTTACGTTTGGTGCTCGAGCGAGGACGAATCGCTTTCGATTCGCTTTGCAATGCTGTAACATTCACTCGTTGGCTTTCTCGGAGATCAAGAGTAGGTGACCGATCGGAAGGGGAATCCGATGGTCCAAAGCTCGGATGATGTTTAATACATCGATCTCTCCTGTGACGAAGGTGGGTCCTCCCGACTCTATTTCTCCTAAGGACGGTTGCCACTCCGCCACCTCTTTTGGTTATGGCGCTCGTCTGATTGTTCCGATCATTCCTAGCCCAGGATATCCCAGCGATACGTACTGATCTAGCGGAATTAGCTCGGCGGCCTCTTCCGTGGTGGCCAGGGCACTTCCCCCACCCTCTACTTCTTCCATCAAGGCCCTGACTCGTCCAGGTCCGTTGGCGATGGGGGACGCAGCCATAGGTGCGACTCCGATCCGCTGTTGTGGGGGTCGGTGGGGGCAATCACGGGCTAGATGTCCGGGCTGATGACAGGCGTAGCAAACATTCAGATTGTTCGCAGCTCCTTCGAGAGCAGGGGCGGGGGCTAATCCTTGTTGCATCGGAGGGGCAAGTACCGCAATAGGTCGCATGTTCCTCAATATAGACGCGACCCTATCGGGGGAAGGGAAATCGGAGCACCGAGGGTCGCTAGTGGTGGCACAGTGGAATTCCCGCGGACATAGCCGATTCTCCGTGTGACAAGGGTATCGGGTCCTTATGAGCTCGTTTATTATAGGGGTGAAATAATCCGGGTCATAGGACGAGTCTGAGTTCCAAGATCGCGTCATGGTATCATTGCCGATGGGTTAGCGCGGGTCGGGATATCGTCACCGCGCACGAACACGTGTAGGACAGGCTGACTCAGTGGCGCCTCATCATGCTCGTACGGGATGATGGTTCCGCCGTGATTCTGTCGGGGTGAGCGAGTCGACGCGCGGGAATGCGTGCAAGGGCGCGACTCGGATCTCGTTTACACGTGTTCTCGTGCGGCGCTCGCGGGGCCGGACTTCGCGCCTAATTGCTTTGTAAGTCTCGGTTATGCAAGATGCGATCATGAGCAAACCTGGATTTCGAACGACGATCGATCGTCCTTCGAAATACAGGAGGAAAACCCTACGCTGTGCCCATGTGATTGACCCTTCGCACTACTATTAACGAGGTTCCGCGGGTTTCGTCGATGATGGCAGGGACGCTCTACATGATCTCCTGGGACGAGCCCGTAGAAGGGAAGCCATCAACTGACGATGCGGAAAGCAGTGACGAAGATGATCCGGAGATATTGAAATTGGTACGGCAACGCGTTTACTACCCGCGGCCCAAAACGATAGCAAGAACGATGAAACTGACTAGCCGAAAAATTCAAAGGACCAAGGCGATGATCTTAGGCGAGCCCCTCGTGCAGATTTCGAGGATGGTCGTTTCTTTGGAACTCCCTCAAACTTTGTACGAACGGATCGCCCCTCTCCTCGCCCGGTACAACGACAAGAAGCATTAATGTGATATTACGAATCTACCCAAGTCCTTACTAACCTCGGCCAAAGAAGTAAGATTGTTACGCTTGGGGCCGGAAGGAAGCTCTCTAGAACCCCCTGGGCGTTTTGAAGCAGAAACAGACGGATTGGGGATAAAAATCGCAACTAAGGAAGTGCCATGGCAGGATGTTTGTGACGGGATTACCCCGGAAGGACACATGGCACTCCGAGAAGAAGATGCTCAGATGATGGCCACGGTGTTCTCCGGCGCCTCCACCCGATTCGACAAAACAGGCGAACACGAAACAAATTGACGTTCGGATCTGGGACCAACGTTTTGAACTGCACGTTCCACAATATGTGCCGGATGAAATCCACCGGGTGATTGCGGATATTCTAACGGAATACCAAGGAGCAATTAGTGTGTCAGACGCTGACATCGGGTTGTCGTTAGTAATCCAACATGAAATTCAGACAGGAAATCACTCCCCGATTCATTGCAAACCTTATCGCTATTCCTTGATTGAACGCAAAAAGGCTCTCGAACGAATTCGGGAGTTCAAAGCCAGCGCTTGGATTGAACCCGCTACCGGACCTTGGTCCTTTCCCGTAGTATTAGTGCCGAAGAAAAACGGGGCGATTCGCATTTGCATTGATTATCGCAATCTGAATGAAATCACGATCAAAGATGTGTATCCCCTCCCCCGGATTGACGATCTGTCTGATGTGATTGGGTGCACTAATTATTTCAGCAAGTTTGATATTCGACATGGCTTCTATCATATTCTCGTAAGGGAAGAAGATCGACTGAAAACGACCTTTGTGTTGTTTGAGGGCACGTGGCAGTGGGTGCGGTGTCCAATGGGGATTTGCAATGCGCCTACCACGTTTCAGCGAGCGATGAACATGACGTTCAAGAACTTTGTCAACAAGACACAGCTGACACAAGGGATGATTAACTTCTGCGCGATCGTGTATATGGACAATATCCTGGTCTATTCGGAAACCTATCACGGGCACACGCAACATATTGAATGGACATTGGGCGCACTGAGAGACGCTGGGTTCAAAATTGTGCTTGAGAAGAGCGAATTTTTCCTCTCGGAAATTTCGTTCTTGGGCTATGTCGTGACACGTGGAGGACTGCGGCCAGACTCGAGAAAAGTTGCGGCGGTAAAGGAAGCTTCGGTTCCCACGTCACTGACACAGGTTCGAGCCTTCTTGGGACTAGCATCGTATTACCGGCGCTTCATCAAGGGCTTTGCCGCGATTGCACGACCAGTTACGAATTTGTTACGGAAGGACCAGCCTCTCGGCTGGGACGCGGAGTGCCAGCAGGCCTTCGCAACCCTCAAGGACGCTCTGGCAACGGCCCCTATTCTGATTCGACCGGACCCCTCGAAGCAATTTATTCTCATCACGGACTGGCAACCGAAAGCTATTTCCGCTATTTTAGAGCAGAAGGGGAACGATGGTCGCGAACACCTCATCGAGTACGCGTCACGAACCGTGTCGGACGAACGAAGGAACGACTCCGCACCTCAAGGCGAATGCTATGCGGTAGTTTGGGGAATCCAACACTTCCATCCTTATCTCTACGGACAAAAGTTTTGCCTCGTAACGGATCACGAGCCTCTGCTAGCGCTGAAGAAACTCACCAACTACACGGGCATGATTGGCCATTGGGTGGTGCGACTACAAGAGTACGACTTCGATATCGTCCATCGAAAGACAGAACGACATGGCAACGTGGACGGGCTGACACGTCTGCACCGACCTTGCAAGGTACCAAAGGGCGAGGAAATTACACTGTGGAAGGAGCCGGACCTGACCAACGAACCTAAGTACGGATAAGTGGCAGCCCTCCCACGTGGCAAGAAGCAAAACGGTGGCGATGGGTGACGGAGGTAACCCTTCTACCCCTCTCTCCCCCCCTTCCTCTTCGTCTCTCCTCTCCCTCCCTGACAAATTTTGCTATTTTTGCGAAGCCATCTCCTGCGTCTATTCGGTCTCCATGCGTCCTAACGGGGAAGGATATGCGGAATGGATAGATTGTCGACAGTGTGTCGCACGAGCCCATGGCTCGTGCATCCAATACAGAAACGATAGTAAACCGTGGTTGTGCCCCTTGTGCCGGACCAACAAGATTCCGACCGAGGCTCGCTTTTTGGACGCCACGTCAGAAGGGTTGGAAAAGACCCGGAAGTTTAGAAGGGCCGAAGTATGGACGGATATTGCCTTAATTGCCACCCTAGTAGGTAACCCCCTCCAGGATTTCACCAAGGAAGACCGGAGGAGGGCCAACGAAAGGGCTCGGGATTATCGATGGATAGAGGGTAGATTAGAAAAACGGAAAACGGACGACGGTGGGATTTGGATGATAGTGCTGCATCCGTTCATGCGGTACGACTGGGTTAAGACAGCCCACGAGGAAACTGCGGCCCATTTTGCTGACGAACCACGGAGTCCACTATCGACAAAAATGAGTGGTATTGGTCCAATATCCGCGACGATGTGAAATATATTGTCGCCAACTGTCAGGTCTGCGCCGGTGACAAGGCGTCGATTCAGCCGCCAAGATCGATAGTGCCCACGGTTGTTGAACGACTATTTCAAAGAGTGAGCATGGACACTACCGACATAATGGTGCCCCCCGGCCCTAATAACTGCGAATATTCAATCCTATTGGTATTTGTCGACCATTTCTCGAAATGGATCGAAGCGTATCCTTGTCGCACGCGGCAAGCCACGAAAATCGCGCGATATGTCAACCGCTTCCTCGGAATGCATCAGGATACGGAAGAGATCCTGACTGATAACGGGGCTGAATTCAGAGGAGAAGTGTTAAAGAATCTGGTCATACATGGCGTCGCCATACGGAATACCGCACCCCACATGTCACAATCCAATAAGCTGGTCGAAAACGCCAACCGGGTGATAAAGACTGCATTGCGACGAAATATCGCGGCACGGGATCCGAGGCCCTGGCCCGACATCGTCGATCACATCCTGGCGGTCCATCGCGGGATGCCCCACGAATCGACGAGGCTAAGTCCCTTCCAATTAAGGACCAATAACGTCACTTGCGTTTCAATACCAAGCCTCCCAGACGAATCTACATTGAACCGACGACCCACCAGGGCCACAGCTAGGGACAATGCCAAACAGCATCTAGAGCTAATGGAACGGTCACTGCCCAGGCTGGCCCGAAAACAACAGAAAATGACCGAACTAGCCCAAGGCCGAAAGGTCCGAAGTTACGAGGCCCGAAATGGGAATGCGGGTCCACGGCCTCAGTACAAATTGGGGGACATGGTGCAGGTGAGGAAATGTGCTCGCCAGGGTAAGCTAGCGCCACGATTCTTCGGGTGATATTGTGTGATCGAGCTCGGCCCCAACGGCGTGGACACTGTGCGTCTCGCCCCGGAAGCCTCTGGCAGCCGATCGGCCCGCCCGATCACACGCCACGTGTCCTATCTTCGCCTCCTCCCCTCTGCTCCATCTCCTTCTCCCTCGATCTCTCCTTCCGAGGAAGCCGAAGACAACGACTCTGACTCTCCGCCATCCCCCTCTTCCTCTTGCTCCCTCTCTGCCTCTTCGTGTCCATCGCCATCGCCATGAGTTTTCTGGAGGAAAGAGCCCTCAGCGAAGCATCGCTTGCACCCCGTGATCGATTGATGATCCGGCAAGTCTATCATCCCCACCTCAGTCCAGATCTTCGGCGGCTTGCGCACTTTTTTTGCACGGAAGGCGTGTATGCAGCGGCGGTGTTCAGAATTGAGGGCCGACCCAACGCAGTGGTACTGGCCGAGKCAGTAGCAGTTCATCAGCGAGCGATGTAAGGTGTCAGCCGCATATCGGTCGTCATCAACTTTCGTGGCGATCTCTCCACGCTCCTCCCTTTACGACATTCGGCGGTGAGGACATCGCTGCGCGCGTGGGCAAACGATCTGGTCGCCGAGTGGGCCCAGCTTCTGGCTCGCCCCGGGGACACGGTCGCGCCGACACGAGCGATCAAATACGACGGCCTTCAGATGTACCAGCGTGATCCGCCGGCGGTTCTCCCTGTTGTTGTTCCCTTCCCTCGCCCCCAATGAGTCTCTCTCCGATCTCCGTTTTCTATCTCCCCTCCACCTTCCCCACCTTCTGGCAGTCCGATATCCACCCTCGCCTTTCCTACTGCCTAACGATCCTTGCTGTCCCTGACGTTCATCCCCCACACTGGAAAATGTGGCGCGAAGACTTCGTCGAGCTTTCACTGTGCTTGGTCGACGTGCGGCTGGCGTGGACCGAGGACGAGGCGTGCCCGCCTTGCATAGAGCGCCTGAAGTTGCTGTTCATCCAGGCTTGGCGAACCAACGTGGAGGGAGAACTCCTCGTGTTTCCGTTCGGTACAGTACGGCCCGGACACGCGCAAGAACTCGTGATCTTGGTAGCGCAGCTGGCGGACGATCTCTCTCTCGACATCATCTCGCAAGACGACCAGCACCCGATTCCTCATGTGCTTTCTCGCACGTTGACACCGTATCTCCAGTGGTCGGCTTGTGTGGAGGGAGCCGCAGAGCACATCCCGCCGTCACAGCAACAGTATTTGGATCCCGGGACAGTTTGTGATCCTGGCTTCTTCAAGCATCCCACGGCAGAGCAGCTTGCTGCCATTCGAGAGGAAGAAGAGGAGGAAGAAAGCACTGAGAGTGACGAAGGAGAAGACGAGCGGGAAGAAAGTGGCGAAAGCGACGAAGTACTCGGGGAAGAGGACGAAACCCCCGAAGAAGGAAGCTATAGCGAGCATAGCGAGGGGGAGCAGAGCGAAGAAGAAGAAGAAGACGATGAAGGAGAAGAGGAGAACGAAGAAGGACCTGCGGAATCAGAGTGGGAAGATGTGCCGGAAGAAGCGCTGCGCACGGGCACGGAGGCTGAAGATCCGGAGGCGGCCCGCAAAAGAGAAGAAACCGCGGCCAGGAAGAGGGAACTAGAGTTTGCGAGCGGGGCAAGCTTGCACGTCCACGACGACCCAAACCAAGATCCGGAGCCGCCCCGACCAGAACATGGCGACCTCACGGCCACGACTCCGACCCCATCAACACGGTGACGGAGTCGATCCCCCTCCTCCCCAACCCATCCCCCAGTTCGCCGACGTACCGATACGGGCGATCAGCCTTCATCCCCGATTACTCTTTCGCCGTCCTCTTGACTACCTTACCCTCAGCCAGCTCACCACCCCCATCACGTTGCCCTCCAACCCGTTTCCCCGCGATACCTTCCGCCACTTCTATGCTGCTCGCCTCGCTATAGTAGTGCACCCCCACCCCTCCATTCAGTGCGTCGTCCCAACCTTCTGCCCCCATGTTTTGCTCCTTAGTGCCGCGAAGTGAGGCCACAATATGATCGAGGTTTATTGCATAGTAACGGGGACCATCCCCGATTGCGAAGATCGCGATCGTTTCCGCGCGGCACTTTTTCGAACTCTCACCACCCTCTATCTTGATTACCTCGCGTCCCTCCCTCGCATTGGCAACCATTTCCCCCGCTTCCACCGCATCGTTCGCTACCAAGCGCTTCCAGAATCTGCAGCCGGGATGGAAAGGTTCCTGCCCCCGCTACCCCTAAGCCCTCCACCCCGCCATGCCGCCATGCACCGGCTCCCTTTTCCGCTTCCAGTTAATTACTGATGCAACCGGTAATGGGCACGTGTCGCGGCGACGACACAAGAAAGATCCCGTCCTTGGATCGTCGAGAGCCCAATCTGAGGAACTAGTAGAAGATCAGAACTGCCACGTTGGATGACGTCCGCACGCAATCGAACGGTAAGTGGGATAAAGGAAAGTGCTCTGCGTGTCGATCGATTAGAGAAATCGAGATCGACATGTGTCAACAAGCAAGCAGTAGCTTGTTAGTATTGGAACCCCCTGGGCGTCACATATGTGACGAACCACTTTCTGTTACGCGCGAGTTTCTGCGCAGTTGCAACGGGGGTTCCTAAGCTGGGAAGATTGGGCCAATTACGAAAAATCGGGATCGGTGGAAAATTACATCAGTACCCTTGCTTCTTCGTCTTTTTCGTCGCTTCTTCGGGGCTGGGTGTGTCTTGGGACGGCCGGTGGAGCGATTGGTCGGATGGATGTCTGGCGCGTCGCCATTCGCGCGCGCGAATTAATAAATGTTGACGTCGTTTCTTTCGGTTCGGTTTCGATCTTTTGGGCGCGGACATCGCGCAAGAAATTGCTGAGCTCTTTTTAATTTTCTTTTGAAACCTTTTTGAATTTTTGTCGAGCCCCGATGGCTCTCGGAATTTCGGACTTTCCTTCTGGAATTTGTGCCTTTTGCTTTTTCGCATTAGATAGGAATTTAGAAATTTAGTAATTAGGATTTTTTCAGCCGCGCGGCGCTTTTTGTTCACGCGCTTCTTCGCGCGGCTGCAACGGAACTCTGATTAATCGGCGCCCATAATCGTTGGTGTAGCTGTAATTTAAAGCAGGCGCCATTGTAACTGTATCTTTCTTCTTGCGCTTCGTCTTTCCCTCCCTCCCTCTCTTCCTCTTGCTGTGATTTTTGTGAACCACGGTTTGCATGCTCGGATCGATGCGTGGAGAAGGGCTACGTCCCCCACGCCGTGGCCCGATCATGTAGAACGCAGGCGCCCCCTCTCTAATCCCCGCTCTAAGTTCTGGTAATTCCGTGTCCTTCGCGCATGCATGCACGCTATAAATTTCGGTCAACACGATGGACGAACCCTTGGGTGTTTTGCAGGCGGTGCGTATAATGGCTTACATGCATCAGCCCAAGGGGGTATCCAAGTGACTGTGCGTTATGTAATCGCCCATCAGTGTCTCTGCACAAAGGTGTGAAGTTTTGAACCCGCGACCTGAGAACACCATGCGCATTGACAACCAGTGCCCTAACCACTGAGCCACAGACCACTTCTTTCCTTCTTTCTTATTCAGGTTAAACCACCACTCTACCCGACGTTGGAAATTCGGGGGACCCAAGAC